GTTTACAATTGGCATGATCTTGTCAATTGGGTTTGCAATTTGCATGATCTTGTAAATTGGTCAGGTTTGTTTTTGATTTTGTAAGGTTTTAAAATCATAGTGGAAACTCTCAAGTGAGATTTGCTTGGGGACTGGATGTAAACCGGGGAGGTGGAACCAATATACATGCTTGTGTTTGTGATGTTCATTTTCTGAGATTGCCATTCTTTCTTTGCAATTTATAATCTCCTTTGCAAACTCACCCTCTAGTGTTCTAGTGTATCTATTTCAGATCCTACACATCCTTCTTCTCCAATAGACTCCCTAGTGTGAGGAATGAGGTAGCAAATCTAGTGGTGCCGACCTGTCAATGTCCTTCCTCCTCGTGCATTTACGCATAAGTGCCAAAGTCCTGGTGTGACTATAGATAAAAACGGTCAAAGCACTTACCTTCTCAATTGTATTCTTAAATTTTGTCAATTTTCTAATGTACTACAACATGAGATTGGTTGTGTGCACCACACAAGAAGTCCAAAAGACCCTCGGCCTCTCACTTTTTAGCTTCTCCTTTGTAGCCATGTTCGTCGAGTGATTATCTGTGATAACTTGTACAACATATTCTGCCTCTATCTCCTGAATGCACTGATCAACCCACTTAAAAATAAAATCTCCGGTATGAGATTCAGCAGACTCCTCTATCAAGTTGTAGAAGATAACTCCAGCACTAGAATCAATGCACATGTTCATAACACATCTATGTTTTCGATCAGTCCATGAGTCTGTCATCAATGTGCAGCAGGTAGTCTCCCAAAGCTTCTTATGTGGCTCCAAACCAACTAAAGTACGAGATACTGCCTTCTTCAACAAAGGCTCTCTCAATTGATACATCGTCGGTCCCACATAACCTGGACCAAACTGACTAATAGCTTCACACATATTGTTGAAAGAAGGGAGCATTAATGCATGAAAAGAAATTCCTGCTTCATAGGTCCAAAGAGAGACTCATTCGTGGACCAACTCCTTTCTTCTTTTGTGCTCAGCTGCATCAACTGTTGTTTGCTTCGTAGCCGAAGATGATGCAGGCTCCTCTGGTAAGAATGTAGCATATCGATGGATAGATCCAAATTCACGGGGCCTCTTGTTTCCAATCTTAGTGATTTCTTCCGCATTCTCAATTCTGGAACTAGAAATATCAACCTCCTGCCTACACTCGATCTCAAATCTTATCTTGTCTGACTTCCTACCCTTAGTTTCAGCCATTGCTACTTTTACTCTCGCAACAATGTCAGGCGTCACTTTCTTGCACGGGTTTGTATTCCCTTGGCAACAAGCTAAGTGCTCTTTATGGCGGGAAATGCCACTAGTGGTTTTATGTCCACACAGAGTGCACTTGATCTTATTCTTCTTAGGCTATTCTGGATAAATTGCTCATTCCTATCCAATATCATCTGAAGGACGCGGATGTGGGTGTGGAACCGAAGCTTGAGCCTCAATAGCTAGATTTGGTCGGCCCTGGGAGCTACCCGACTCTAAATTTTGAGAACTCATCAATGGATTAGAAGCTGTAGAGGACAATTCCATATATTTGTTGAAATTATACCTATTCAATGAACAACAACAAATAACAATATAAGTACTAGAACTTTATAATTACAATATTTAGCTTTATCAATATATATCGACAACATTTTATTTCTTGTATTATTTCTTCATTCATTTCATACAATAAATAAACATGCTATATTTCTTCATTCATTCAATAAGTTATAATAATTATTAATTTCAGATGTTGATTTTATTTTTTATTTTTTGACTGCAGCTGCTGATTGTGAATGAAGAAACTGGAATAAATTATTCTATGAGAAAAATTTTGATTGCAACTGCTGATTAGGAAGATCAAGCCATTTACCTCATATATAAATTAATTAGTTGTAAATTTCTTGTATTATCAGTGACAACAAATAACAATTGATAAGCTTGTTGTATGAAATATGAATGAACTATGAAGAAATTCAAGAAAAATAGCATTGTAATTAGTTAAGGGGAGTCGATTACCTGTTTCTCTGTTACAGATGAAGCCGCTGCCAACAGAGGAGGAGGAGGAGCTTGGACCGTTAGTGGCGCTGGAAGAAGTCGCCGGAGTGAGGACAGTTGGCAGACGAAGCCATTGTTGCAGACGAAGTCGTTGGTCATCGTTGGAGCTTGGAGGAGAACCTTGGAGGAGGAGCTTGGACCGTTGGCGGTGCTGGAAGAAGTCGCCGGAGCTTGGACCGTTGGCAGACGAAGTTGTCGGTTGTCGCTGGAGCTTGGAGGAGAAGCTTGGAGGAGGAGCTTGGATGAGGACGAGGAGGAGCTTGGAGGAGGAGGAGGAGGAGGAGGAGGAGGAGGAGCTGGAGCTTTCGGGTTCGGGAGGGAATACGTGACGCGGCTAGGGCACAAAAATTCATCGAAACTGAGGGGTTAGGCATTTAGTGAGTATTCGGGTTGGGTTCAGGTCGTGATTGGGGTCGGGTTTGCGTTTAACCGCCAGCGGTAAATAGTGCTTTTAAGCGCTAACACGTGCTAAATGGCGCTATTCGAGTTAAAAGCGGTTTTTACCGCTTAAGCTTGCCGCTTATGTTTTACGCATGGCGCTGGGTCCCCGCTTCCGCTATTCGCGCCACGATAGCCCCGCTATTGGCCGCTATTTACAACACTGCTCTTAAGTGCAAAGCAAATAGAGAAGACGAAAGATTCCTTCATTAGTCCCAAACAATACCTTTTATTAAAAAGGAAAGATATGTAATTTTTTGGGATTAAGGAACTATTATTATTATTATTATTATTATTATTATTATTATTATTATTATTATTATTATTATTAGTCACAAGTTTTTCACGTAAGATGTTAGACTTAGTGGTGCTAACTTGGAGATTAAATGAGAATTTCCATGTGAAACTTAATGAAATAAAACAAAGCTTTTGGGGGTTTAGTGTAATAAAAAAAGTTGATGAGGGTTTACTACAACTTCCAAAAAGTATATAAGGGTTTTTTGTAATTAACCCTTTTTCATCCCCCTATCTTCAGTAACTAATAACTATTTGCAGTTAGAGGTTTTTGTCCAGTTTTTGTCATGTGAATTATTGACGTTAGTCATGAGAGCAAAGTGAGAAGAGATGAGTCTCTAAATTCCAAAGTTCAGGAGGTTTGTGCAAATCATCCCAAAGTTCCAGAGAATTTTATGAACTTTATTATGAGAATTTTTGGATCTTTTTGAGGTAGAATTTTTAACATGACGCACCCGTCCATGTTAAGAATAGAGCTTTTGGAAGAAAAAAGATTTTAGGGAAGAGGAGAGACTTTTGAAAAAAAGGGATTTATTTTATTCATTATACTAAACTGTTTAAATATAAGAGTAAGAGTAGAGATTCTAGAATCCTAATCGATATGGGACTAAAATAAAGCAGATACCCTAATATTACTATATCTAACACCACTTATCAAACTCACGGTTGGTAGAGAACCGTGAGTTTGGATAAGATGAGTAAAATTTTACATAGATGGCTATTGACATAGTTTAGCGAGAGGTGGTTGAATTGGAGCACATTAATGGCTCGAATTACAGGCGGCGAGATCATGTTATTGTAGTGGTGATCGACAGTCATGCACGTTGGTTGCGAGAGGGCGGGCCTACAGTCGTGGGAGAAGGCGCGATGACTAGATCTTACAAGTAGTGAGATACAGTGTTCCAGTGGTGATTGGCGATCACATGCAATGGTCGTGAGAGGGCAGACTTGTGGTGGTGAGAGAAGGCTCGATGACCGGATGTTGCAAGCATTGGTGAGTGGAAAGTGCTTGAGTGGAGAGAGCTTGGCCAGAGACTGGCCAAGGAGGGAGAAATCTCGCTAAGACAATTCATCAAACACCTTATATGCATGTGATGAATAGTTTGTGCAATTACACCAATCTAAGCAGTAGTGGTGTTAGCATGCAGAGGTTTGCGGTGGAGGAACTGTTAGGGTTTCGCAATCAGAGCGAGAGCTATTGCCATTGGGGCATGTAGATGTTGCTACTGGGGTGTGTAGGGATTCCTAGGAGGATCCCTGTAGAGTAATTGGGGGTCACCGAAGAGTGCCTTTTCTAGTTGTCTCAGGCTTGCTTGTAGCGGTCGAGTGGAGTTGCTCAAGCGGGCATGGTTGAAGTGTCGACAACAGCTATTTTGTTGGTGGTGATAGCGACGTTGGAGTTGGTCTAGTCGAGAGTGCTAGGATCTGGCTGAGGGTGGTCAGATCTGGTCGATGGTGGTTGGATCATGAGATGAGAGATGACTGGAGATGCTCGGGTGGATCCAGGGAATGTGGCTATGTTCGATAGTTAGAGCCAGAGTTGGACTTGAGCAGATTTGGTGGATTCGAAATTGGCATTGAAGTAACAAGGCTCAGTATGAACAGTAACTAGGTTTTTACAGTGAGCAAGGCTCAGGATGAACATTACCCCTGTATGAACAGTGTCATTAGGCAAAGGTTAGGGCTAAGGTTTTTGCAGTGAGCAAAGGACGGTGAGAGGTTGTAAATGATGGGGCGGTGCATCAAGGTTAAATCCGGTGTCAAAGCCGCGGAGGGGAAGCACGAGTTTTCGGCAAAACACCCTCGACGGCTAAATGTAGAAGAAGAAGAAAGAGGTTTCTCTGGGATCAAGAGGATGTCTCTGATACCATATTAAGAATAGAGCTTCTAAAAGAAAAGAGACTTTAGGGAAGAGGAGGGACTTTTGAGGAAAAAAGAGACTTATTTTATTCATTGTACTAAACTAGTTAAATACAAGAGTAAGAGGAGATAAAATCCTAACCGATGTGGGACTAAAATTAAAGAAAACATATACCCTAATACTACTATATTTAACAATCCAAACTCTTGACATATTTCCAAATCAAATGATAACATGTAGAAAGTTCTTCATTTTTATTACTATTCAAATAATTTCAGAACAGATAGTGTATGCTTAGTAGGGTAATAGCATTACACAATTCCTTCATACAATTTGTGACTGAATTAACCAAAAAAAAAAAAAAGAATTGTGACTAGCTGATTACATTTCATACCATTGCATTAAGCAATTTTACAACAATGATCATTTACAGTTATACCATTGTTTAGTATTCAATCTCACTTCTTGCTTTCAATACTTGATCTCTTACTTTTTCTTATTTTTCTATTTCATCATCATCATCGTGAATAGCCATCATTTGGTTGCTTTAAACATGATCAATCATCTGATTAATGTATTGCAATTTGTAATTTCTATAAAGCTTATAATTTGAGTGCTAGCTGCACAATTTAACAGTGCAGGCCACAGCTTGAGCCCAATATTTTAACCTTGCTTTAACTTCATCTGGATGATCCCCTGATAACAAGCGAAGATAAGAAAATTAATTAGCTAGAGTGTTTAAAGGAAAATACTAATATATTAATTATACAAAATGGTAACGAGTTAGTGCACAAACTAAAGTGATGAGATGTCATCCCTTAGGAGGTTAGAGCTCTCTCTTTAATGAATAGGAAACTTTGATCTTCTAAAATGATATTATATTGTGATACGATTCTTCTTTCCCCCCTCAAAACCACCTTTAAAATAGATAATTATATGAAAACTATATTGTAATTTTAATTTATAAATAAACCACCTTTAAAAGTGGATTTTTACTGTAGTCAACCGTCGGTCAAAATTTTAACTAAAAGCTCATAATTACCCTCAAAAACTCAAATTCAAGGCTCGTGACTCTAACTTTTGTGATTAGGTCTTATTAGGATACAACTTATGTACTTTGAACTAGAATTTTTTAAGCTTATTTTTTATTTTTAGTGAAAACTTGACTTGGAGGTAGTTGATTACTATAAAAATCCACTTTAAATGTATTTTATCCATAAATTGAAATTAAAAGGTGATTTCCGTATAATTACCCTATATTTAAGATGGTTTCTAGTAAAAAGACCTCAAAGTATATAAAATTAGAGATTAATGAGTATCCTTGTCATAGGAGGGGATTTCCTAATTGACGCCTATTTGGCACAATCCCCGCCATCCTCATAAAATAGGAGAGAGAGTGTGAGTTGGTGGGGATTTTTGCTTACTTTATGAGGATGGTGGGGATTGTGCCACATAGTTGACAAGGAGGAAAATCTCCTTTTATAACAAGGATACCCATTAATCTCATAAAATTATTATCATATCTTATGTCTATTACATTTATTCTTACTTCACTGAAAGATAAAATGATTTTAATTAAATTAGGTGAAGTCTTCATTATATATTTGAGACCGACATCTAAACTGAAAATTTCCCTTCTAATAAGCAATTTCCTAAGTTTTCTTTATCTTAAGATTATATTTTAACTTAAACAAAAGGAAAATCAAATTCTCTAGTGTAAACTGTGCAGTCTATCCAAAGACCTCAAATTACTCTACCACTCATTCAAACGCGGGACCACATTCACATGAGTTAGAGAGTGGATAAGAATGAGTCACCTCACTATCAAGCACAAAATTTATGCTTGGTATCAAGTTCCTATATTTTAAGATAAATATTAAGGAAAACTCACCAGGACTGGAGATTTTCCAATTTGCAACAGGAGAAGAACTAGAACCCATAGAGCTCACAGAATCCTGATCACAAGAACCAGACTCATTGACCCTCTGCTGCTGCTGCTCATCTAGAAACCTCTGGCTCATAGAATAACAAAGCTCGAGAGCAGGCAAAGTGCTACAAAGCTCAGGGATCTCATCATAACTGAACCCAAATCCCAAATCCAAGCAACCCTTGAGCTCCTCCAAGTCCTCTTCACTCAAGCTCTTTGTTCTCCGAACGGTAGTACTACTCTCTGAACCCGGAACCTGATGATCATTTTCTATGTAGCCTTCAAGTGTCACCTTGTTCTTCTTCTGCCAGTTTTTGCTTCTCTCGTGGAGTCTTGGGTTGAAGCTTTTGCTCTTGTTCATCATCTTCTTCTTGTTTTTGAGAGTTGGTTGGTTGTTTGGTAGAAGAACAGAGGACTCTGTTTTTGAAACAGGGCCCTCCATTTCTTTTTGTTGTAGTGGATTGTTGTTTTTTGAGTTGTTTAGGGGTATTTAAATGAGAGGAAGGGTATGATGATTGTTAAGAGATGATGGGCACAGATTTAGCTTGACAGTAAAGATATTATTTTTTTGAATCCATAATTATATGCTACAAGGGATGTATCCTCTTTACTTTGAGAAATTTGTCTGATCATATATATTTTAAAATACAAAATTATAACATTCATTTCTTAACCGAACTTCGGAGTTTGGTGTAGTGGTAGTGTTATTTGATGAGATACCATAGCACTCAGGTTCAAAGCCATCTGGCCATGAATTTAATGCTAATTTAAAAAATAATAATAACAATATCGATGCGTGAGTGCAGATTTTAGCCTATAGAAAGGATGTTCCACTTGCAAGAACATGTTAGAATATGCAACTATAGTCCTTAATCTTTGCGACAACTTATTCCATATCGTCTCTGCACTCCGTTTTCACTTTTACGCTCGAGATTAGTCACAATCTTCAATTAAGAGGGGTTATTGGTTGGGATATTTTGGGGATAATGGGATAATTTTGGGGATTCTATTTTATAGTTTTATTCATTAGGACAATGGAACAAGGATAATACATTTTGGTGTTATTGGTTTTTTGAAACACTAGTGAGACAATTACACCACTTGGGATAAAATTACCCCACTCATATACAAAAAATTTGTCCCAATAGTAAAAATTTACCCTATCCTCCATATTAGAATAATGTTGTTCCACTTTGAAGGCAATTAGGATAATTTTAAAATATTTTTGTATTACTTAACTAATACATGCTAATTATATTATAAATATATGACATGATATATAAAATATAACATATATTAATATTTTAATGACATAATTTAATAACATATATTAATAATATTATATAATAGTAATTATAGTATAACGTATTTATTATAATATTATATAATATTGTAATAACATATATTAATAATATTATATAATACATATATTAATATTTTAATAACATATATATAATATTTTAATAGTATATATTAATAATATTATGTAATATATGATTATATAATATTAATTAGTAACTATAGTATAACGTATTTATTATAATATTATATAATATTTTGATAACATATTTTAATATTTTAATAACATATATATAATATTTTAATAACATATATTAATAGTATTATGTAATATATTATTATATAATACTAATTAGTAATTATAGTATAACTTATTTTTTATAATATTATATAATATTTTGATAACATATTTTAATATTTTAATAACATATATATAATATTTTAATAACATATATTAATAGTATTATGTAATATATTATTATATAATAATATATTATTCATATATTATATCAATTATTATATAATGTAGCATACTAATATAATGTTAATTAGTAATTATTGTATAGCATATTATATTTTTGTATAATAAAATAATATATTATATTAAATATATCAATATTATATTATATTAATTATTATATATAGTATAGCATGCTAATATAATATAATATAATACAATATATTAATTAATAATAGTAATTTGTAAGTATAGTATAATATATTATATTTTAATATAAAGTAAAATAATATTTATATTATAATAATATACTAAACTAATTGGATAAGTTAATTTAGAAGTAATTAATAGAAGTATTAATACTGTAGCAAAAACAGAATACTGTAATATTTTAAAATACTGTAGCATTTTAAAAAATACGGTAGCCTTTTAAAAAATACTGTAGCATTTGCCAAAAAATTGTTGCCTCGCTTAAAAAAGAATTAGTGTGGCGGTCGCATTTAAAAAAATTACTGTAGCAGAAGAAAAAAAAAAGAGGGGGGGTCATGCTTTGCACGGGGTGCACATTAGTGAAAATTATATGAGTGGGTCCACTCCACTTCATAGAGTTGTCATATTTTTATCTAGGGAATTTTTGTAAAAAAGATATTTTTTAAAACTTTATTAGCAAAATCGACCTTTTATGAATTCAATTAGCAAAATCGATCTTTTTGGCCAATTTTAGAAAATATAGTTTCTAAAATACACGAGACTAGTAGTGCCATGTAATTAGTGTTGGCTAATTACATGCTAATTAAACTTTAAAAAATACACGATACTAGTTAAACTTCATTATGATATAATTAGACACCACTAAATACATAAGACTAATTGTCTCATGAATTTTAAAGCTTTATTTTTATAAAATCGGTCTCTTTTTGACCGGTGATTGATTTTACTAATTATATAAAAAAATAGGCCGATTTTACTTATAAAAATTCAGGAATGGTCTTTTTTTAAAGGGAAAAATGTGTCCATGCCCCAAAAACGGAAACTTCATATGCTGCAGCCCCTCTTAGTTTTCCACATGTGATTCAGCCCCTTGAAGTGTGACACTTTGTAATGCAGCCCCTTTTTCGCAATTATTACATGTCAGCTAAGCTAAAAACCCCAAAATAACCTTTTCACATCTCTTCAATCCCTCAAACCTAGCTCTTTCATCTCCCTATGTTAGTTCTAGCTAGTTGGGGGCAAGTTAGAACTAACAATATTCGAAGCGATATAACGAGAGGTAGAAAATGAGCCCAAGTGAAAGGAAGATACCGTGTGATAGACAATATAAAGGGCTACACACCAGCGAAGACGGTGGTGAAAACGGAGACCAGAGGTGGCCAAAAAAAACGTGCGAAGTCGGCATGGTGCTGCTATTTTCTGCTCACTACTACCGTCGAGCGATGTTTCGGACGTTACCGAGAGAGATAGAGATTGAGTTAGAACGTGATACAAATTGGAGGTGATAGGTAACATGTAGGGCTAGTCACAAAAGAAGAAATCGGCGGAAACGGAGATTGGAGGTGATCGGAAAGTGCGTGCAAAGTCGGCACAAAACTGCAGCGCTGTGCTGACTTCGCGCGCGTTTTCCGGCCACCTCCGGTCTCCGTTTTCACCACCGTCTTCGCCGGTGTGTAACCCTTTATATTGTCTATCATACGGTATCTTCCTTTCACTTGGGCTCATTTTCTATCTCTCGTTATATCGCTTCGAATATTGTTAGTTCTAACTTGCCCAACTAGCTAGAACTAACATGGGACGGGCTAGAACTAACATGGGACGGTTTAGAACTAACATGGGATAAGTTAGAACTAACATGTGGCAAGTTAGAACTAACATGGGGCGGACTAGAACTAACATGGGGTGAATTAGAACTAACATGAGGCAAATTAGAACTAACATGGGGCAAGTTAGAACTAACTTGAGAGCCCAAGAGCCTAGAACTAAGATGAATTAGAGCTAGAACTAGCTAGAACTAACATGGGGCGTGCTAGAGCTAACATGAGGCGTGTTAGAACTAACATGGGGCAAATTAAAACTAACTTGAGAGCCCAAGAACCTAGAACTAACTTGAGAAAAAGCTCCTCCCACCTCCGGCGGAGCCCACTAAGACACCCCGATGACCCCGACAACCTCCTCCCACCTCCGGCAAGCCCGGACAGCGGCGAAAAGCTCCGAACAGCGAAGAACAAACCCGAACGGCGAGAAATTGCACTGCAGAAAACTGTAGTTTTGTACCGACTTCGTACGCACTTTTCGATCACCTCCAATCTCCGTTTTCGCCGATTTCTTCTTTGTTGACTAGACCCACATGTTGTCTATCACCTACAATTTGTATCACGCTCTAACTCAGTCTCTATCTCTCTCGGTAACGTCTGAAACATCGCTCGACGGCAGCAGCGAGCAGAAAATAGCAGCGCCGTGCCGACTTCGCGAGCGTTTTTCGGCCACCTCCGGTCCCCGTTTTCACCACCGTCTTCGCCGGTGTGTATCCCTTTATATTGTCTATCACACGGTATCTTCCTTTCACTTGGGCTCATTTTCTATCTCTCGTTATATCGTTTTGAATATTGTTAGTTCTAACTTGCCCAACTAGCTAGAACTAACATGAGACAGGCTAGAACTAACATGGGGCAGGCTAGAACTAACATGGGACGGGTTAGAACTAACATGAGGCAAGTTAGAACTAACATGGAGCAAGTTAGAACTAACATGGGACTGGCTAGAACTAACATGGGGCGAATTAGAACTAACATGAGGTAAGTTAGAACTAACTTAAGAGCCCAAGAGCCTAAAACTAAGATGAATTAGAGCTAGAACTAGCTAGAACTAACATGGGACGTGTTAGAACTAACATGGGGCATGTTAGAACTAACATGGGGTAAATTAGAACTAACTTGAGAGCCCAAGAGCCTAGAACTAACTTGAAAAAAAGCTCCTCCCACCTCCGGCGGAGCCCACCGAGAAACCCTGACAACCTCCTCCCACCTCCAGCAAGCCCGGACAGCGGCGAAAAGCTCCGAACAGCGAAGAACAAACCCGAACGGCGAGAAATTACACTGCAGAAAACTGTAGTTTTGTACCGACTTCGCACGCACTTTTCGATCACCTCCAATCTCCGTTTTCACCGATTTCTTCTTTGTTGACTAGCCCCACATGTTGTCTATCACCTCCAATTTGTATCACGCTCTAACTCAGTCTCTATCTCTCTCGGTAACGTCCGAAACATCGCTCGACGGCAGCAGCGAGCAGAAAATAGCAGCGCCGTGCCGACTTCGCGCGCGTTTTTCGGCCACATCCGGTCTCCGTTTTCACCACCGTCTTCGTCGGTGTGTATCCCTTTATATTGTCTATCACACGGTATCTTTCTTTCACTTGGGTTCATTTTCTATCTCTCGTTATATCACTTCAAATATTGTTAGTTCTAACTTGCCCAACTAGCTAGAACTAACATGGGACGGGCTAGAACTAACATGAGGCGGGCTGGAACTAACATGGGATGAGTTAGAACTAACATGGGGCAAGTTAGAACTAATATGGGGCGGGCTAGAACTAACATGGGGCGAATTAGAACTAACATGAGGCAAATTAGAACTAACATGGGGCAAGTTAGAACTAATTTGAGAGCCCAAGAGCCTAGAACTAAGATGAATTA